CCGGGGGGCGGGGCCAGGCCAGACATGGCGCCCGGGGGGCGGAGCTTGGCCGTAGGTAGCAAGGGAGGGGGCGGGGTTTCAAAGAATGGGCGTGGCTTGTCAGTATAGATGGTAATGGAGGGGCGGGGCTTGGGAAAGGGGCGTGGCCTGTCACAATCGATGACACTAGAGGGGCGGGGCTTAATGAATGGGCGTGGCCTGACTCCATTTATGACAGGGAAGGGGCGGGGTTTATGGGGGAGGGGGCGTGGCCTGATCCCGGAAGTGGAAGGGGAAGTGGGCGGGGCTATAGGAGAGGGGCGTGGCCTGACCCCATTTATGACAGAAAAGGGGCGGGGCTTATGGAGGAGACGTGGCCTGATCCCAGAAATGACAGGGGAAGTGGGCGGGGCTTATGGAGGAGGGGGTGTGGCCTCACCGCCACTGTTTGGCCTCACAGTCCAGGCGGCTCCTGGGGGGGGAAACCAGTACGGACCAGTAAGGACCAGTATGGACCAGTATGGACCAGTATGGACCAGTACAGACCAGTAAGGACCAGTATGGACCAGTACAGACCAGTACGGACCAGTAAGGACCAGTACAGACCAGTACGGACCAGTAAGGACCAGTATGGACCAGTAAGGACCAGTAAGAACCAGTACGGACCAGTACGGACCAGTATGGACCAGTATAGACCAGTATGGACCAGTATGGACCAGTAAGGACCAGTATGGACCAGTAATGGCTCCCAGTGCTCCCAGTAGGTCCCAGTAAGTCCCAGTAAGGGCTCCCAGTGCTCCCAGTATGGACCAGTAAGGACCCGTAAGGGCTCCCAGTGCTCCCAGTAAGGCCCAGTAGATCCCAGTGAGTCCCAGTGCGGGCTCCCAGTGCTCCCACTGCATCCCAGTACGGGCTCCCAGTGCTCCCAGTAAGGCCCAGTAGGTCCCAGTAGGTCCCAGTAAGGGCTCCCAGGGCTCCCAGTGCATCCCAGTATGGGCTCCCAGTGCTCCCAGTAAGGCCCAGTAGATCCCAGTAAGTCCCAGTGTGGGCTCCCAGTGCTCCCAGTGCTCCCAGTGCGCCCCAGTGCCTCACCCCTGCAGCCACACGAAGCCGATCCTGGTGACGATCCCGACGCCGTCTGGGGGGTTTTGGGGCCAAAAACGACAAGTTTGGGTCAAAATCAGGATTTTGGGGGCAAACTGGGGGATTTGGGGGCAAACTGGGGGTTTTGGGGTCAAATTAAGGGATTTTGGGTCAAACTGGGGGGTTTTGGGGTCCGAGAAGGATTTTGGGGTCAAACTGGGGGGTTTTGGGGTCAAATTGAGGGATTTTGGGTCAAACTGGGGGGTTTTGGGGTCTGAGAAGGATTTTGGGGTCAAAACCAGGATTTTGGGCTCAGAATTTGGGGGATTTTGGGGTCAAATTGGGGCGTTTTAGGGGGGGGAAAACCGGGATTTTTGGGGTGAAA